ATGTAAATGAAAGAAGTTTGACTTGCAAGAGATAATGATTGATGTGAATAGAATATCGAGTTCTATTCTTGGTTTTAAAAACTCATGAAACATTGACTCCTTATATAGCAAAGGGTACAAGCCGTTGACACATTATAAGGAATGGATATAACTTAGTATTTGACAATCTGACATTTAAAAGATTCACAAGATTTAGTCCTAAGAACTGTTACATCAAAATAAACACAAAAAACATTTACTACTAATACAAACTTCTGACTTCTGAACATCTTGATCTCGGAGTTGATCTTGCTTCAGAACACATCACATTTCGGACACAATCTGACTTTGGATCTTGATTGCTTCAGATTGCAAGAGGTTCACTTTTCATGTATTAACAAAGATAGAATGAATATTAAAGAGAGGTTTTAAAGATATGCATTAGGGATCCGTTAATTTTGGTTATTATCATTTGGGACTAACAAAAGTAGAGTTACTTATGCTTCTTCGGGAAGTCACTCTAATGCTTTCTTTCGTTGTATTCAAAATCTTCAACTGATTTGTTTGTTTCTATTGGATTGAATAGAGGAAAATATTTGGTGTTTGGAGAGTTTGGGATGTCCTAATCAAATTTTGAATTTTGTAGAGAATCATATAGAATATGTGGAACCATGTCCCGATCCACTAGTTTTAAACTCATAACATCTAAGGAATGAATACGAAGTCTTCTAGGAAAGAGCGAGATTTTTTTCTTTGTGTTCTCTTGTATACCCTCATAGTTTTTTTGGATTAGTGGAAAGGCATGGAAATTTGAGTAATAGTAATATAAATAAGTACATACCAGTAATGACATCAGGTGCCACCTTGACCTCTTCCCACTGTTATCTGATAAGGACGACACCTAGCCTTCGGGACCTCAATTGTCCATATCGGCCATCCATGATCTGCAAAATCATAAGAACTGGTGCTTGCACTGGCTTGGCAGCAGAAATTAGACAATTGGCTTTCACATGGCTAACTTGATTACAATGGAAACAAAACCATAAATCCTTGTGCATAATCCTTTATCTTATATCTTTCCTTTCTGCTGTTGAAACACTCAAACCCTAGTCGAAAAGTACCCTCATGAACCTTACTGAACTTGATGCAAGTACTACCCTTCTAGTCTCCAGATCGGTAGTCAATAAACTTAAAATAGTTACTGGATGGGTACATCTTAACATAGGTCAGCGTCTTCTCTTTCCCTAAAGTTTCTAACTCTATCTCTCTTCTCCAGGTATGTGCCTCCATCTCCACTAGGTTCGGATATTGGGTCGTCGACAGAAATGGTCATCGAACATGTCAATAATTGTGATCTTGATAGACCCAAAAAGTTCTGGAATCGTCTCCCTACCTGCTATAGTCTCTGAGTGGAGATCAAATCCAGAATCTCATTATCACTTACCCTTGGCCTCTCAAGGCCACTCGTGCGTGAATTGGATTCTCTAGTCATCACTATGAGGAAAATATATAAGGAAACATGTCAAAAATGAAATTATGGTGCTCTCAAGCTATTCACTCAGCCAATCCTGAAATTCAAACTCATACGAACCCTATTCTTCTAGAAGTATAGGCTCGTACTACCTTCTGTTATTATCCATATTTGTTTGAAGAATCATATGATTTGTAAGTCACTAAAATCAACCACTGCTAGGTATACTAACATAAAGTTATACACTATAAAGAGAGATCTATTAAATCCTAGTTCCTCATTCTAGGACTCTCTGAACCATGCTCTCATGACGTATGGAACCTCCACTATCATTGTTTGTATCCAAGTGCATTCTAGCCATACAAAATACAGGATCCCATAATAGGTCGAATAAATGATTCTACCTTATGCTCACCACCAAACTAGAAACTAGATGTAAGGCTAAATCAAGCATTCTAAGGCTATTTGTCATAATTTTATACAACTACTGGATTTACAATTGACTATTAACAACAATAATCTCAGTCCCAAATAGCAAAATTAAACATTTCCCTAGGCTACAAGGCATCACATTAATCAGGCCCTTCTATCATGTAATTCCTATAAATCTTTAGACTGTGCACTAGCACGCATGTAATACCTGTTTCTCATAATAGGTATTACTATTTAATATTGGACAACAATTAATGAATAAAGTTGTGAATTTGCATAAGATGCAAGAAAATAGCAAAGTGGATTGTTGTATTTTGTAAAATATGATAAGTTGGAAATAACTAAGCAAAGGGATTATAGAATTGGAATATAATCACTATGATTCTGAAAATATTTTCGAGGAAAACATATAGTTCAAGGGGAGTGATTGTAACAATCCAAAATAAATTTGAATACTATGTTGTCTGAACAGTTTGACTAAAAGGGTAATTTGGTCATTTTTGAGAAAATCATGATATAATGAACAGTTAATCTTGCGAAATTGAAAAAAAAAACTAAATTTATGGACATTTTAGGATGATTTATAATGTTGGTTGACCGATTTAAGTCACTTAATTATGTATTAGAGCAACATTGGAAAAATGGGAAAAGTCAGTTTTTTGATATTTTTCATGATTTAATGGATTACGTTCCATATGAATTAAGCAAAATTATTTACATATTAGTACATCAAAGCATAGCACTTCGATGTAGTTAGAGGATAACTAGTCCATACCGATGATGATGTGGAAAATTCCAAAGAACATTGGTATAAGGTCGATGAGAAAAGTATGATTATCTGATGTTAAGGTAGAATTACTAAGTATCTCTTGAGTACTATCAACTTGTTCATTAACCAGTTCTACTCTATAGGCTTTCTTAAGTTTATTATATGGGTGATCTAACAGTTTTCTAAATTTAGGAGTAATGTAGCTTCTATCGGCACCGGTATCAAAAAGTATATTTGCATAAAATTTATTGATTGGGAACATACCCATAACTACCATCAGATATTGGACGACCTCTCTAGCTCCTATAACAAATGCTCTACTCCTAGCATTACCTCCCTAACCCTTCAGCTTTGGACAATCCCTCTTGAAGTGTCCAACTTCCTTACACTCATAGCATGTTCATCTCTCTACTGTTACAGTTCCTCGATTGGGTGGGGTTTTGCAACTGTTGGCAAGATGACCTTTGTCACGTAGTTGGTGCAAACCCAACATGTGCCATTGTGAAAAAACCCACACTCATTGCATCTAGGGCTACTTCCAGAGGTGGTCCCTATCGAGGATGTTGAAACCGCAAATACTTGAATCACTTCTCGCTTCTTTTTCGTTGGTTGCCCGGCCTTCCCTTTGGACTCTTTCCCAAAATTCCTTTTTCTACCCTCCACCTTCGGAAAGTCAACCTTATGTACCGTTTTCCCATAAAGAATCTCTTGATTGCTCAGACTAAAGGGTAGTCTCTTAGCGTTGTCGAAGGTGGTTGGCCTTGAGGCAATGACTAAGCCTTGGATAGGATGAGGCAAACCCCAAATATACCTCTCTATCTTCTTATATTCCTAGGTGGCTATCCCGATACATAAGGAAGTAAGCTCATCGATACAGATCGTATAAATGGTAACATCAACTTACTACATCATCAGATTCCACAGCTCCTGCTCCATCTAATGCATCTCCTCATGTGGATAATACTCCTCAATCATGAGTTTCTTTAACTCAATCTAAGACATGGCGTTTGCTACATTAATGCCTATGGTCTTTGTGTAACTAGTCAACCAACTTAGGGTTGCGTCTACCAGGTTGCAAGAGGAAAACATGAATTTATAGTCCTCCAGATAGAAGCTTATCTCCAAAACAGGCTCCATCTTTTCTATCCACCTGGTCATCCAAACTACGCCTTCGTTTCCTTGGAAGGGTTTTGGCTTACTGTTCAATACATCTTAATATAAACAAACCCTAGTTGGACCTTGATTATCTCCTTGCTAACTCTCACCTCTATTGCCTCCTGATCCTTAGGGGTTTTAGGTTTGCTATTGCATTAGCAACGCGTTAGGCCAGTAGTGCCTCAATCACGGCTAAGATCATAGGCCCAGTATTGGTTTTAGGTTGTCTTGTGTTTCTTGTAGCGCAAGGCATGTTTCTAAATTTATGGCATATATTAGTTGTTATGACAAATTTTGAGTTTTACTTTGATAATTTAGTTTAGAGAGTCAACTATATCAAGAAAACAAATTAAACATATAATAAAATATACAATAAGATCAAATAATTTTCATTAACCACCACAAGATTTAACATAAAATTTTCCCAAAGCAATTACAATGGTGTAGTTTGAATAGGAAAAGTATCTATTTTTATATGAAAAGACACCGTTACACTCCTTTTCCTTCTCTTAAACCCAAAAATCATAGTTCCTAGCTTTCCTTGGCTAGAACTATCTACCATAACTCAAAACAAACTATCATCCAAGCCATTATCTGTGCTAACTGGTGCTGAAGGCAACTGATCATCACCTCTATAGTAGCTATACCTATCTCTAACACTACCAACCTCAACTTTGTCTTCCTCACACGCTACTCAAGTCTCTCAATAATGATCTCTTAATATTGTATTAGAGAATGAGTCTCCTCCAAATGATTATATGTGTGGAGGATCCTTATATCCTTATAATATCTCCCTTACTGTAACTCCCAAACTCTACTAACTAACAACCCGAGCTCCCTCCTCAGCGAGTTGTGATCCTCATCCACCTGTTGTATGTGATCCTTGTGTCGTGCTACTCAAGGGACTAACATTGAGATTTCCTGATATGTCGAATCTTTTGGGATTGGATTGCAACTAGGCGCCTGGGAGGACTCCCCAACCTCAAAAAACCTAATATAATCCTCATGGATCCATTTATCCACCTAGAGTGTCTGTATATGGGTGGGGAAAATCTTCTTTGATGACATGGGTAATGATGGTGGTAAGGTTTCCCTCTTGTGGAATGGCATGGGAATAGATTTTATGGAGGTGGTGATAATCTTGGGCCCCAGAGCATGAATAATTGGAGAGGATGGGGGAAGGGGAGCTACAATCTATGGCGATGAATCTGACTCAGTTGGGTCCTCCTCCTGAGTCTCCTCACGATCTTGGTTGGAAGTTGAATCTGGGTAGGGTGAACTGTTTGCATGCACTCCACCAATCTCATCGACAGGATGCTCCTCGTCCTCACTCGACTTTTCCTCATATTCAAATGGCTCCTCGTCAGTTGATACTAGAATAGGAGGTAGGTACATCCTCGAATTGTAATCGCTCTCTTCCTCAGGCGTACGTGGCACTACTTGATCTTCTTCCGGATAAGGATGTGACACCTAGTCTTATATATCCCCCATATCACTCCGATTCTCTACATAAGACATCAAACATGCACATGTTTATGAGAAATAATATATAATACATAAAATTTCCTATTATAGTGTTTGTGTGTGTATATATATATATATACATACATACATATATATATATATATATATATATATATATATATATGTGTGTGTGTGTGTGTGTGTTGTATGTGTGTGTAGGGATAGAGTAGATAATACCGTATCATAGGCAACTTTCTATATGGGTGGTATGTCGTATCCTTTTCTCTATTCTAGATATCCTCAAGGTGTACCATCTTCTTGCACTAGGTCTTGATCTGAGGATCTAGTATTCAGGAAGTCGATCTATGCTACTGATATGAAGTTCCTCTAGTCATAGGCCTCATCCTGATCTCTTAACTAGGCGTACTAAACTACTAATGCATAAATACTCAAGCGTTTAGATTGTCAACTACGACATCTAGGTTTAGGTGTGTGTTGGTCAGACCATAATAAAACTTAGTTGCGTATTCTAGGTCTAGTAGTGGTAATACAACAGTACTAGACTAACCCTAGGATTCATTTTTTACCATAAATCTTAAGTTATGATTCGAATGGACAATTTTTATCATATAAGGGTGTACTTATAAGAGTTTATATATCTCTTTATCTGATTATTGTTTGATTAGAGTATTTTGTTAATTCTATGTTTGTGTACTTAACGACCACTAAGCAAGGATCCGGAAGGTAGGAAAAATTGGAGCGCAGGACCATTTTTGCATATAGTTGTTATGAAATCCAACAACCCAAACGAAATTTTTTCCAGCCTAGGCACCATTCCCATAAGTAGTCTATCCATACGGTAATTTATGATAATACTTTTATTAGGTTTAACTAATTTAATGTTTTATGCCCTAGGTTATAATTATAGTTCCTAAAGAATTACTTGTTCGCTAAAACATGTAGACCTAATACCAATTTGTCACACCCCCATTCAGCGGTGGAAACGTCAGGCGGTGCGAATGTAGTGGAATTGGATCGAGACATACATACGTATATACAACATAACACGAAAGTATGTCACAGACATTACTTTTATTTATTATAAATTATATGGGACTACACTGTTTAAAAGTCAAGCACACATCCTAAATATTACTAGAAAAGATAAACAGAGGGAACTAAACTCCAACAATCTTCTTTGAAAATCTCCTCCACCTCGGCACAACTATCCTCCACACTCATTTCCCTGAGAATACATGAATATTTAAAACGTTAAAATAATGTTGGTGAGTACAAAAGTTTTTATAGTTTTTGGCTTTTATTTGGTTGTATTAATTTAATAATCCTTTTTCTTTTTAGAAACACTTTTCCTAAAGTATTTTATCAACCCCAGCATAATATCGTAGCTTACAATTAGGTACAATACATATCCATATATTTGACCAGCATAATATCATTGCTTACAATTAGGCATAGTATCTATAACTACATTATCCTAAGGGTTTAAGATTTATAAAATGATTAATATTTATAGATATAAATATATTTTTTTATAAAACCATCTGATACGCATGTATCCCCTCCCCCAGTAAAACATTTATAATAACAAAATTGGGGATGTGAGCTCACCCTAATAGCATGAGACCTTTGATGTAGGGTTGAATTGGGCTCGGGACTTTAGGGACTACTCCAAAAGTAGTAGTTTTAAGATAAAGAAAGTGAGTGATGATTAAAGGTGTGAGAAATGAGTTCTGCACAGCCTCTATTTATAGTCATTGATTTGGGGTGTGTGTGTGACAAAAATATCTACATGCGTTGCACATTATCATCGTGGCTCCATCCAGTGATGGCCACGTGTCATTTCCCAAATTGGCCATGTCACTCACAAACTACTCGAATACAATGTCAGGTGCTCAACGGGCATACGCGCACACCTCTTTATATCTATGTGATGATCTCAATGGGTATACAACTCTTGATTAGGTTGTTTTAGCTAGTTTTGACTTTCATTTTTGTACCTAACTTGGGTAAAAATAAATGATTTTTCAAAAATCATATCTCTCATATGAAGCTTGTTTTTGGCACTCGTTGTCCTAAAGTTTATATCTTAAGGAGTACTACGAAACTCGTTGTCGCATTTTTAGTCAAAACTCAACCAACCTCTAAGTACCGTTATGATGTAATTAACTTTTATTACGTGGTTGATTTATATTTTTATAAAATCCATAACTCTATCCTTTGGATTAAGATTTTTATGATCTTATATCACTGAGATCACATTAATGAGTACTATCCAAGTATGTTCGCCAGTTTAGAAAACGATACAAATTTTTGGGCCTAATGGATGTTTTAACTAATAAATGTAATGGCACATTTGATTTCTATTATCTCTAAAATAAAATGTTACAATGCTAAGCTATTACATCTATTTTTTCCTAATCTTTCCTAATGGCGATCAGTGACAGAAACCTATCGGTTGTTACAGGTGGGGGCGACGATAGTTGGTGGTAATGATGGTAGCGATGATGGTGGCGGTGATGGTGGCGCAGATGTTGATTGTGGTAGCAATGGTGGTGGTAGTGTTGGTAGTGGCAGTGGTGCCTGATGGAATTGATGAGGACAGTAGTGATTGTGGTGACACTTGGTGGCTACAATGGTGGTGGTGGTGGCGGCGGTGGTGGTGGTGGCAACATTAGTGGTGGATGTAGCTGATGGTAGTAGTAGTACCAGTAGTGGTGGTAGTAATGGTTGTGGTGACAGTGTTGTTAATGGTGGTGGTAGGTGCAGTGATGGTCGTGTTTGGGTTAGTAGTGGTGGTGGTGATTACAAAGGAGGTGGTGGAGGCGGTACTAGTGGTGGTGGTCATGGTGGTAGTGGTAGCAGTGGTGTTGGTGGTGGTGACATTGGTAGTAGTGGTGGGTGATGGCGGAGGTGGTTGTGGCAGTGTTCGTGGGTGATGGTAGTGGCGATGAAAAAGATGGCAATGGTGGTGGTTGTGACGGTGGGTGGCTAGTGGTTGTGGCGGTGGTGGTGGTAATTATATTGGTGGATGGTCCATAACAGCAACAATGGTGATTGTGGTGGTGGCAGTGGTAGTGGTGGTGGTGCTGGCGGTGGTGGTGGTGGTAGTGGAGGTGGGTTTTATGATAAATACATGTGGTATTTTTGTAATCTGCCACTTTCCTTGATGAGATGCAATGTTTTCGATCCAACTTTGTAAGGAATCCACTTTCCTCGATATGGTAAAAAATTTAGTTCGTTTAGGAATCCCTTTCCCCTCTAAGTCCAAACAAACGCACGAATTCGAGGGAATTGGAATCCTTTTCCATCGAATTTCATTCCTTTACTACCAACCAAATGTGGCCTCAATGTTCATATTCCATCAGTTCAAGCTACCCAACAATTATCAAGATACCGAAGAATACAAAGTTCTGAAGATTAGATTTCATGTAGTTCTTGGTAGAACAGTAGAAGAGGTATGTTCAATTAAGAAGATAGTAAAACATGTTTCAGTAACAAAAGATGTGATCTTTGAAGGTATAATTTCCAATTAACATTACAAGGTTATCAAATCGGACAACATTCCTATTGATGTCACCATTTTCGATTTCACCATAATCAAATTCAAGACAAGGCAACATAAATCATAAGATATGGGCATATCAACAATTTTATTGATTACTACTTCTCTTACATGGGTTTAACTGACTTCGAATTTGCAAATACCTTCAACAAGAAGCCAAAGAATCCAAAATCAAGGTTGAGCGAGGATCTGGATATCAATTATTATATAAATGGTTAGTTTTTCATCAAACCAAAACAAGTTGTGTTTTAGGGGAACAACATGAATGAGGGAGGAAAGAAAAAAATACTTCTTTCATATAGATTTCAAGGAAATGTATTCTAAGTCGAATCTTACCAGCATTCTTCTACGAATCAACAAATGCAAGAAAAACTCTATTGAAGATCGGATTGACATAAGGAGTATTGTATGTTGGTATATGTAGATTCGAAAAGTTTTTATGGATATTGTGACAACTTTAACTGGTGTTTGAAGATTCGATATTCCTCACAAAGGGGGAGATTGTAGATTCAACGACATTGTAATGTATCGAAGTCTTAGGTAATAGTTGAAGTATTATTCGGGTGTCCATATCAAATGTTTTACTGAACTTTGATTTTGTATGTTTTTATCAGGAACTCGTATTATCTCTCCTTCATTCTAAAAGTCCTAATATATATTTTATATCAATGAGTACTATAAATAGTACTGGGTCTAGGTTACAATGATTACTTTTAGGAGAGTCTTTTGATCGAACTTCATTGTACTCTTTCTCTCTTATTCTAACCTTAATCCAAATAAAAGAGCTAAAACCATATCTTATTTACATCTTCTTCTTCTTCTAATCCCTTATTGCTCTTACATTTGCTTGATTAACGACTCATCGGATAAGCAAAAGTACACTGCAATTTGCTGAAAACCCATTTAAAAGTTGGTGAATCGAGAAGCATATAAGGAAAAGATTTACATATGCAGCACACCTCCAAACCAATGTCTAGAAAAAGGTATCTAATTTGACATTGATCAATCGAATCAAAAAACGATTGGGGAAGGCCAAGGGAAATTGCATGGACAAGCTACCAAGCATGCTCTGGTCATACAAGACCACACCTTGGTTAACCTCTAAGGATACCCCTTTCAGCCTCGCCAATATGGTAGAGGTGATGTTATTCATAGAGTTGATGGTGGGATCGATTCGAATAACCAATTTCCAAGAAGACAAGGCAGAACATGACCTAAGACAAAGCCTAGAGCACATTGAAGAAAGACCTGAGAAATCTAACATCCATCAAGCAGCTTACATGAATGTTGTGGGAAGTTACTACAACAAACAAGTAAAAGAGAAAGATTTCAGAGTCAAAGATTTGTGCTAAGGAAAAAAAAAGATAAGTCGTGCTTTACCTCAAGGAAAGCTAGGAACAACTTGGGAGGGACCTTATAAAGTTGTTGAATCCCACTAGAACATGTCTTATACTTTGGAAACTCTAGAAAGAAGGTCTACACCAAGGACGTGGAATGCTAGAAACCTAATACGGTTCTTCTTCTAAAGCAAGGTCTAGTCAATAAAAAATAAATCAAGTTCATTGCCCAGGCCGATGTTTAAATTTAAACATGTTTTGTAGTTATGTGTCCAATAAGTACACAAGAGGGATCCAATCATACCACCCACGTACAACAACACATAATATGTAACACTTGTTTTCCAGATTAGATAAGTATATGGAATAAAAGAGTCAAAGGTGTGATTTTCGG